CAGGCCGGCACCTCCCTCCCAAGAGAGACACATTCCGAGACTTCAAGATAAACTCGCGCTAAATAGTGTAATAACTGGAAGCAAATAGATTCGATAGGCACTTAAAAAGGAGATTTGTGTTTCATAGGGAAAGCTACAGTAGATCACTGACCTTCAAGCTGTGTTGTTCTTGGGTCCCTCACACAAAATATGTGTATAAATTTAAATCAAATTTTACTTCCTGTGACCATAATACTCTTAGGTGTTGTACAGTCCTTTTTCCTTTATATTGAATTATGCTTATAGTTATTAGTTGTGCACACTTAACTGCAGTCAACCTAATTATTACATAAATATGTTGAACATTTTGATAATTGTTCAATGTCGAAAGTGAAAGTGCATGGCATGTAGCCCTCTGAGGAAAGGAATGGGACTTCTTCACAGAGTGTATGTATTCATGGATGAACATCACTTGTAAGAGCAAAGCAAGATCCTGTACCAATTCCGTTCCTCTTTTCCTTTCTTATAAATGTCTACATAAGAAATCTTGAGACCAGATAAGCAGTTGGGAATGGAAGAATATTTTTTGTATTGCTTTTCTTTTTTTTAAGATTTTATTTATTTTTAGAGAGGGAAGGGAGAAAGAGAGAGAGAGGAAACATCAATGTGCAGTTGCTGGGGGCCATGGCCTGCAACCCAGGCATGTGCCCTGACTGGGAATTGAACCTGCTATGCCTGGTTCGCAGCCCGCATTTAATCCACTGAGCTATGCCTGCCAGGGCTGGAAGAATATTTTTTAAAGCGATGCTATTCAATTATGTGAAATCATTATTACTCATATTTCAACAATCGCATTGTAACTACCCTGCCTGGGTGGCTCAGTTAGGTGGAGCATCGTCCCACACACCGAAAGGCTGCAAGTTCGATCCTGGTCAGGGCGCATATGGGAGGCAACCAGTCGATGTTTCTCTCTCCCACTCTTTCTTTTTCTCCCTTCCTCTCTCTCTGAAATCAATAAACATATTTTTAAAAATCACATGGTAGTCTATTTCCACAAAGTCTGGGTAGTGGTCTATAAATTGTCAGTTCTATCACATTTCTTCAGTTTTATCGAAGCAAGCCCTTGGCACCCACCTACTTTCAAAAAGATTTGTTACAGAGTTTTCCCAGTCCATTTCTGTTTCTGCGAAGTAGACCGGCAACGGCTCTTTCTACCAAGGCTTAGCAAAATACTGCTCATTACACCTGTTATTCTTTTACTAATTGGCACTTTGTCTAATCTGGTATACACAGAATTTGGTAGAAAATTGAGCATTTTGTTCATTTTAATTCAACTTTGTTATTATAATCCTTTTTGGAGGCTTTTTATCATATCTCCTGCTTTAAATATCTCTATTAGTTCATTTAATTTATGGGAACTCTGACTATGTGATTTACTGGCAGGGCTAGTCCTCATTAAACCAAACTTACTTCCTGTCAGAAAAAGTCTGACTCATTTTTTCAGTTCAAATACATGAACACACATTCCTTTACGACCATCTCAGAGCCGAGTCCCTGCTCCAGGTGGACTGGGGAGACAGATGAAGCACAGATCCTCGCCGTGAGCTTGCTACTCGGATTAAATAACGTGTCACGGCCTCGACTAAGAACTGCTTATTTCTTCCCAATAAAAATAAGTATAGCTTTATGTCCCAAAATTGAAAGCTAAGCAGATTTTCTAGTGTGGTTCAATGGGTTCATGTGTCTGATTTTACATGAAAAAGACAAACTTAAAACTTACCCATTTAAAATAATGTTTCCATGTTAATAAAAGGGTTACACTTCCGGTTATGTAAGACGCACAGTGTTGGGATCATGCCAATCTTGACTTGACTCTGTCCTACCACTCACTGTGGCCGCGTAATTTCCTTCCCTGAGCCTTGGTTTCCTCGTCTCACAGTGAGATCAACCTCGCAGGGTTTTTCTGCAATTTAAAGCAGGTGATACAGGTGAAACCATCTGGCGTGTTTCGGGTACTCGTAGGGGTCACTTTCGTGTCTCTTCCCCTCCTCAAGCTGTTCAGTAAAGGCTAATGCATAGCCAATGTAGACACCTGTGCAGAAGCATCTAAAATGAAACAACAGAAACTAGTCTCAGGTATTTCAAAATTTCTACCAATAAAGAAAGACGGGTGTCTGGTTAGATAGGAAGTAGGAATCTCTGGGTGATAGAAATTATATTTTTGATCTTCTTATTTAATTATATGTTCTAATTGTGCTCAAATGAATATGTGTAACTATTGTAAAAGAAATATTTAAAATTTTAATGAAGGATGCATAATTTATCATCTTTGAGTTGATACATGGAAAATTATGACTCCTGTAACCCAATTTTTTACTTTTATTCCCTGAAGCATTTTATGTTACTAAATTAGTTCAAGATCAGTAGACCTGATAGCTCAGAAGTTGTTAACTGCTGGGGTTACGGACATCAAGGAAAAAAAGGGAGGAAGTCAGGTTGTAAATAATGTATTTCTGTTAAACTTTCGTGGACAGCCCCCCGCCCCACCTCTGCCAGGGTTGTCTGCACCTGAGTCCTAACTTGTCCCTCCACTTCCAAGAGCCCACACTGCTGCGCCTTCATGCCCTAGACACAGTGACATCTGTCACCTTTGGCCTGATCAGAACCCTCAGTGCGGCCCCTCTCTGCTGCAGCCCCCCTCGGCGAGTGCTGGTGCAGGCTGTGGTGTGGTAGTCCAGGAGAACACAGGCCCAGCGTTCACTAGTCGTACACTCTCCCTCAAACTCCGAGTTCCTCTCTCTGTGCGGGTTGGTGTGAGTCACTGTTGACCCGGATGGCCGAAAACCGGACATCCGCCATGCTCATCTGTGATCACGAGACATGTTTCTGCATAATCTGGAATTCTGCTTCTCCTGGTCACACACACGCGCGTGTGCATACACAACACAGGAATAAGTGAGTGCCTTTGTGGCACTGAAATACAAGTCACTCAAGTCTACTTCTGTATCTCTTTATAAAACATGCCGTACATAGTATGTACAGTGTCATGATGCTACTGAAAATACGCATGTTCGAGGAAAAGGGTAAACTAACACTGCTTGATAGAGTTGGAAACACAAACATTAAAGCAATCACTAACATAAAGTATAAAGACCAAATTCTTTCAGCGGGCACTCGGGGCCCACCGCACACTGAGGTCCCTCTCCCTTCCCAACCTGACTGTCCCCGACTCCCAGGACAAACCAGCTAATGTCTCCCACTCCCTCGAGACCTCCTGACAGCCAAGCGCTTTGTCGAGTATCATGCTCACGCGAGTCCTGAGATTGCATTGCTACCATCCCCATCTCACAGGTGAGATTCAATATCTTCCTCCAGTCACACAGCTCCTTAGGGCAAGCAAGCAAGGAGTCAAACCCAGGCTTGTGTGACTCCAGAACCATTTTTTGCAACTTCTTTTCGAGCCAAATGGATCTCGCTGCTTGGTGTCATCCCAACACGTGGCAGGTTTTCAGTCGCCATGCTCACCCGGCTCTGCGACCTTGTTCTTTGGAGTTGCCCTCCGCACTGAACTCCTGCGCAGGGTGTCTCAGCCCCCAGCCTGCAGCGCTGTCCTATGACCCTTAGTCCTGTGCTCCCATATGACCCATGTGACCCTCTGACCCTTAGTCATATGTTCCTTGTCATTTAATGGATCAGCTCGTAGGTGCTGTCTTCCCAACCAGGTAGCCAGATGCTCAGTGCAGAGGCCGCAGGAGCAGGGTGGACGGTGTCTGAGACTCTGCTCTTTGGGTTGTATTTCGTCCTGTTACCTACCGTTCTGTGGCCCTAGTGGACGCTCAGAGGGGGACTCAATGATAAAGTAACAACTCTTCGTAAATAGTCAAAGACTCTCCAATGTCATTAAGTTAAGGTCGCTCACAACTCTCCGATTTGACATGAAGTCCTTTAAACTTCGAGCTAACATTGTCCCTGGAGGCTGTCATGTAAGAGATGCCATGCAATACTAGAGACTATCTGAAACAATGACCAGGTGAGTGTTTTAAAAAGGCAAACTTAGCAGTCGGTCAGTTTTGTGACTTCGAAAAGACTGAATTAATGGAGGGTGATTTGCCCATTTTCATTCCATTCTTTAACCTTCGCGGACCCTTTCTGAATGAGATTTGTGGTTTTATTTCCCATTAAGCAGATTACAAGACCTCCTCTATCACCAAACCCCACAGAGTGACTAAGAAAGAACCTTAGCCGTGAGGGAACGGGAAACACCACACTAAAAAAATACATAATGAATGTCTCTGTAAGGCTGCAGAGATTCAGGAAGCTCAGGGTCTTTGCTCCTACAGGTTTCAGCTCACGGAGAGGGGCAATTTGGGCGTGCCTGCTGAGGCTGGACGTGAATTGCCGGTGAGGGTCCGAGCAAACAGGCGAGGTCCAGCAGCCTGAGTCAACAACTGTTTAGGATGTAAACCTACCCCGCCTTCCCCTCCCCTCCACCCTCTGTCTGTGGCTCTTCCAGCCTCTGAATGTTTATTGGTTCCCATGAATAGGTTAGTGGAACTGCTTGAATCAGTGCCATTGATCGGTTCTGCTGCTTGTTTGAGGATTGATTTGAAGATCTCCATAATCCATTCTGCCTTAATTTACACTTCAGTGTGTTTAGAATGACTGGTAACTACCAGACTTAATCTCTCCCCCAAAAAAAAATAACAAGACATGTAATTTGCAAGATAATTATGTTTTAAGAGATCACGAAAAACTGTAAGTGTGAAAAGCGTTTCAGTAATAGGCATACCTTGGGGGAAGTCAAAGGATTTTGACTGAAATATCTTAAAGCATGTGTTAGTTGAATTAATATCTAACCAAAAAAAAAAGCTTTTAAAGTGAAAACCATATAACCGTATTTCATTTACCAGAGGCAGATTAAATGTCTGAGCATCTACTGCCAAGGACTTTTTGAAAACAAAGCTGTTTTGTTTTTTGTGTTTGTTTTAATTTTCTGTTCTTCATGGATCTCTTATCTTCAGGAAAATTAAGTGGATTTACACAAGAAAATAACACCATAGATTCCGGAGAACTTGATATTGGCCGAAGAGCAATTCAAGAGGTTCCTCCCGGGGTCTTCTGGAGATCACAGCTCTTTATCGATCAGCCACAGTTTCTTAAATTCAATATCTCTCTTCAGAAGGATGCATTGATCGGAGTGTACGGCCGAAAAGGGCTACCGCCTTCCCACACGCAGGTAAAAGTGGGCTTGGTTGTCAGTAAAAGGAAAACGGCTAGTTTGCATTTTTGAAGTCATTCTGTTTCTTAAGTTTAGCTGTCTAATTCTTGGACCACTTTTGTATTGATCTTTTAGAGTGAGAAGGATTTTGAATGTAGGGTTACCCTGATCTTGAGGTGTTGGAATTGGTAGGAAGAACAGCATTTTCTGCCTAGCTTGCTTTAACCATTATTGACTGATTGAAATATACTAAAATGCGTGAGTAGCTTAATGAGTATTGAACATCATCGGAGCACCTAGTAAAACACCATGGCTTTTTCAAGTGTTTTACAAAGATGCTGTGGTGATTTCAGGTGACCTGATTCCTCTCATGTAATGTACGCATAACATTTTCATCTCAACCATCTATTCATTCTATTGAAAGAGTATTATTATTTTTACTTTATGCCAGATTTGCCTTCAGTAGAGAAATTATTGGGGCATAAACATACATATGATGATAGAAACTTCATCAATTCAGGCCATAGTTCCTCATCTACAAATGATGAACAATGAAATAAAAAGGCCAAAGAGCTTTCCAGATGACCAAGAATGCCCACATTAGTGTGATTCTCAAAACCATTCACACATTCTTGTGTCACAGACTCAGAGAACTGTAGCGTCAGCGTGCTTGCATGCAGGCCACTTCACAATAAGAGTCACCAGGGGAGGGGCACCAGCAATAACCCCCCAGGCTTCCTCATAAGCTGACATGGCCTCATGGTGCAGAAATTGGAAATTGTGGTTTCAAGAAGGTCCCATTATGTCTAAGAGAAATTATTTAAATTACTTACCATAAAATTGGAGCTCAGACATTTCCCCAAGATCAACTAATATGATGTTAGTAAATACAAGAATTCCAAAAATGTAAGACAAGGTTCATTTAAATTGACAATTGGATGAAGTTAAAGTTATACTTGATGACCAGTTTTTTTGCCCATGGAATTTCATGCTGACTTTAGTTCCATTTATAAAATGAAGACCGGAAGATTTTCATCTATGCTTTATATTATGTGATTTTTGTCAGCAATGCCTTTTCTATCACAGAAATTTAAAAGAGAAAATTATAGACAAATTGATCATATACTAATAAAAATTATATATTTAAAAAAAGGTGAGCAAGAAAATTTGAACATGCTTTCTCTAATGTCATTGCGGATCAGGGAAAATGTCATATACGTACATAAATTATATAGTTGTAAAAGTTTTAGTATTATGCTTTGGTATATTCATTTCTCTGACTTAACACTTTTCAAACCTGCATTACTGAACCTCCTTAATCCTGATGCAAGAAATACTCCTTATTGTGTAGCAGTGTTCGATTTTAGACTACAGCCAACTCCCCTTTATCTCATGGGCGACACTAACTAGGATGTGATAACCAGATTTTCTCCAGTGGAAGTGGGCGTCTGTAATGTCAGTTGTAACAGCTAGATTGAATTTGTAACAATACTCCAGTGAAATAGAAAAAATATATTTCATTCATTGGAACCCCGTGCATGATTAAGTTATTTTTGTGTGACGCAAACACATTTCCTGTGAGCTAATGGATAGCATGACAGTAGACGTGTAACCTATAAAGTCAAGTCCAAACATAATTTCAGAAAAAAAATGTCCTGTGTGTCCTGCACGTCAAGAGTTTATTTAAAGATTGAGGGTTGACTCTTCGCAAGTTACATAAATAAAATTAGAGAAATAAAAGGTGCAGTTTCCAAGTTTTCACATACTTCTTCTGCCATTTAAACACATGTGCACGATAGCCACTGTTCTTTTCCACCACAGTATACGTGTTTAAGTAGGTTAGGCTTTTCCTCAGGCTCCACCATTATTAGGGATCCTTTGCCTGGCTTATTCAAGATCAGCAGAGCAAACCGCTGTTTCGGAGTTCAGTGTGGAATCCTGAAATACGCTGTAACGCAGCCCGAATAGAACATTCCTCTGTTTCTGGGACACATTAAGTAAATCAACCTGAAATCATTCAAAGTGGCCCGCCATTCAGAATAGTCACTTGAGTTTTGAAAGGGTCTTAGCGACCCTGTAGAAAACTGTCTGTCTGCCTGTCTGCCCGGAGTCACCGCCTTGCTTTTCCCCGATGCCCAGCTCCTCCTGCTGGGCAGCGCAAAGCCTAAGGAGGCTGTTGGACACCTCACAGGTACTAGTGCCCCGTGTCGCTTGAGCACACGCGCGCGAACGCTGTTTGGGAACGGGGCTGGAAGCCTGGGTTCTAAGCACACCCGTCCACCCTTGACCGTGGGACCTTGAACACCATCACGTAACTTCTCTGCCCCCCAGTGTCTACCTGTAACGTGAAAGAAGGAGGTCAGATGATCTGTGAAGTCTCCTCCCCTCTATATTCCCAGGATTTATGACGAGACTTTGCCGCCACCAAAACACGTTCCTTTAAGAACACAGTTAAGTATTCTTAGATTCTGAGTTCTCCTCATTTTAGCAACTGAATTGAGGTAAGCAAATGGACAGCCTGTTCAGAAGTGAACCACCAAGACACCTTCACCAAGGGTCAGGATTACCTCTCTGAAAGCCCCCCCAAAGTGGTGGAACTGAGTTTTGTCCAAAAGTGGCATAAGATCTTAAGACTCGCCTGCACAGGAAAATCCACGTCTCCTCCATCTTCTCAGCAAACCACTGCAAAGGAAACCACAAGTCACTCGAGTTTGCCTGTAATCGGTTACTTCACACCCTAAAAACAAAGGTTACTAAACATTTCTATTCCACGTCATTTATTCACTTTTTGCAGAGGTGGTTTCAGCGTGGAGGAGGGCATGTGTCTTCAGGGAGTTGAGCCACCCTCCTGAGGTCACGTGGGAAGTGCCCTCCCCCCTCTCCCCTCGCCCCCGCTGCCAGAAGAGCCTAGAACTGGGAGGACAGTGGACACCTTCCTGCCAGCTGCTCCCCACCCCCCCACACCCTCCTCTCCAGCCTCCTGGTGGTGTTCCCGGTGGGATGCAAACGGGGTTTCCTGTGGTGACGGTAGTAACTAGGCGTAGTTTGAAAGACCAGTTAAAACTCAGAACGTTCCCCCTTTCAGTTTCCGATCACCGTGTTGCACGTCAGAGGACAGCAATGTTTCCGAGCAGTGGGGCCGTGCCTCGGCCGTGCCGGTACAGGCGTTTCTCTCTGATGAGAAGATGAATGGCTTGTCTGAGATAAAAGCACCTTTCAAACGCACTGATTTAATTTTCCTCTGATAATTTCAGAATACACTTCCAGTGAAATTTTTGCAAGTCAAATAGCCACACTAGTCATTATATTCATCCTTTTTAAGATATAAATGCAAACACAAAATTTGAATGCTAATTAACTAATAGTTTTTTTTATATTTCTCAGAATTAAATGATGCGGTTTCGCTACACAGCAGAAATGTTTTTATATGTAAATAAGAATTTTAGGAAGTCAGGAAGTGGATTTGCTATTCTAAGTTCTGTTTATTAGCAATAATTAAAGTCTGTGATCAGTCCAGGGGCAACACAGTTCACTGTGAATCTCAGAATCTGAACAACTTATGCTACACCTGTTTGATTGTATTAAGGGATTCATATGCTGACCTTTTTTAAAAACGGAATACTGATGAAATTCCATTTACGGAGTCTGTCAGAAAGTAGACTATGGATAGGCCACACACACAGTTTTGTAACAATGATTAATACGTGTAGCACTTTACTATACTTACATCACACCCCTCAGGAAGACATGGAACTAAGTAAGAGACTAGAGAAACTGAATCACTCGGCTTTTAAAAAAGTTATCTATCCCTAGCTGGTGTGGCTCAGTGGATTGAGCACCAGCCTGCGAACCAAAGGGTCACCGGTTCGATTCCCAGTCAGGGCACATGCCTCAGTTGCAGGCCAGGTTCCCAGTATGGGGTGTATGAGAAGCAACCACACATTGATGTTTCTCTCCCTCTCTTTCTCTCTCCCTTCCCCTCTCTGAAAATAAATAAAAATTTAAAAAAAAAAGTTATATAATAAGTTGATTCATACTCTGTTGGAAAGTCTTTGCGATGTCTTCCAAATTCATTGCATTATCTCTGGTTTCAAAATTTTACCCTGCTGTTACCAATGACATTATGTGCTTTTGATTATCTTTTTTTTTAAAGATTTTATTTATTTATTTTTAGAGAGGGAAGGGAGGGAGAGAGAGAGAGGAGAGAGAGAGAGAGAGAGAGAGAGAGAGAGAGAGAGAAACATAAGTGTGTGGTTGCTGGGGGCCATGGCCTGCAACCCAGGCATGTGCCCTGACTGGGAATCGAACCTGCGACACTTTGGTTCGCCGTCCACACTCAGTCCACTGAGCTACACCAGCCAGAGCACTTTTGATTATCTTTAAATTCTCCAGTTAAACTCTAGCTACCCAGTGTTCGTGATTAATCTCACCGAAATAAAACCTAAGTTTAATGATGAAGGACATCATAATGGGGCATGCTTATATTATTCCATCCCTTCAAAGCCGTCTCTTGTTTCATTTTTTTTTACTTTTAATCAATGACATAAAGGCACCCTATTACTTGTTTGGAATCCAACGGTAACTGCGTGGAACCCCACGGGTTCCCCCACAATCTGGGGATGGGCGGGGCAGGTCCCGGGGAGCGGAGGAGCCTTGCAGAGGACACAGTCCGAGCTCTGAGCCACGTGCACCTGAGACCCCATCCACCCCAGCTCCGCCCCATGCCGGACGTGTGGCCCTGCCGCAGCCCCCTGGGGTCAGCCGGCTTCCTCCGTCCAGTGTCCATACCCGTGCCTTCCCAGGAGGGTTGCCAGAGGGTTGCAAATCATCCTGGCGAGGAGTAAGTGTGCCAGCGTGGTCGTGACTCTGTGAGCGTTAACTGGAACCCTAGACAGCAGCGCCCCTCGTGGTGGAAGGGAGAGGCTGCTGGGCTTGCAGGGCTCTGGCTTACGTGTGTTCCCCCGCACGGCCTGCACGCCTCAAGATGTTTGTCCGCCAGATGAATGAAAGACATGTGCAAACCATGTTGCCCCATAAGGAAAAACACAACCTGTGGAGTTTAAATGCCACGGGTGTGCACAGTAGGTAGTTTTCCTCACCCCTAGAAGGGCTATGCACAGCAGACCTGTCAACCAGAGCTTCCTTTTTAACAGTGTGCTTGTTAGAGCAAAGGAGAAAAGGGGGGGAAGAAAAGAGGGAGGCAGCCACAGTGGATCGTACTGTTTGTGACCACCAAACCCTTCCGCTTGTCCCCGTGCTCAGTACGACTTCGTCGAGCTCCTGGACGGCAGCAGGTTGATCGCCAGGGAGCAGCGGAACCTTCTGGAGTCGGAAAGAGCCGGGCGGCAGGCGCGGTCCGTCAGCCTCCACGAGGCCGGCTTCATCCAGTACTTGGACTCCGGAATCTGGCACCTGGCTTTTTACAACGACGGGAAAAATGCGGAGCAGGTGTCTTTCAACACCATCGTCATAGGTAAGAACGGCCTTCCGGGGACCCCCGTTGGGGCTACGGCCTCAGCACTGTGGCCAAGGGGAGCGCAACGGTGTCTGCCAACATTGGTGCCGCCTCGGGTGGTGGAGCCCGAGGCTCGCTGTGGGAAGTAGTTCTAGATTGTTCGCTTATGAGTACGTGCCAAACGGTGAGGCCCTGGAAGAAAGGGTTACCTGGCACTCTGCTGGGGGGACAGGGCCTTGTGCAAACACCTGAGCACGCCTGCCAATGGACCAGCAGCACCGTGACTCACTGCTGGAACAGTCGAGGGTAAGGGAGCCCGTTTTGGCCATGGAGCTAGCCAGCCCTACTTCCTTCAACATGTAGCCAAAGTGATCAAAGGGCCACCATTGACCTTGGCGTTGACCTTGGGCCAGAGGCAGGCGACGCAAGCAGCGTTTGTCCTTTCTCTCTGCTTCAGAGTCTGTGGTGGAGTGCCCCCGGAATTGCCATGGAAATGGAGAGTGTGTTTCTGGAACTTGCCATTGTTTTCCGGGATTCCTGGGTCCAGATTGTTCGAGAGGTATGCGAGAGCCCGATTGTCTTTCCTTAAGCCCCAATAAATAAGCCACCGAAAGGCGAGCCCCCCGGGAAAGGACCAAGACGGGAGAGAGAGGGGGGCGCTGGCAGGCGGCTTGCCCCGGCGCCGCCGGCTTTGCTCTCAGAGGCCGCGGCTGCTGACGGCGGTGTCGTGTTTTATTTCGCAGCCGCCTGTCCGGTCCTGTGCAGCGGCAACGGGCAGTACTCGAAGGGGCGCTGCCTGTGCTTCAGCGGCTGGAAGGGCACGGAGTGCGACGTGCCGGCCACGCAGTGCGTCGACCCGCAGTGCGGGGGCCGGGGCATCTGCATCATGGGCTCTTGCGCGTGCAACTCGGGGTTCAAAGGAGAGAACTGTGAAGAAGGTAAACATGTCAGTGTTTACAGGAGTCCCTTGTCCTCTTCGCAGACAGCAGCAGATTAAAGTGGTAATCTTCAGGGCGGCAGACCGACGACCTTTTATGTGCCTCCTCGTGAAAGTCGTTTCGATTTCCATACTTGCGGGTGCATCGCTGTAGTAGCATGTGAGCTAACATAAAGAACGGGCACCAAAGAGCCAGGCCCCCTGACTCTTTTTCAGTCGTGTGAATAATTCTTTTTTTTTCCCCCCTTTGAGAAAGTGAGCTAACATTTGTGCCTTCAAACCAGCAGTGGACTGGTTTGGGAGGGCTTTATTTTTTTTTAACAGATTTTCGTATCGATGCCAGCTTTTTAAATCAGGCCTTTCTGGCATCTCTGGAAAGACAGACTATTGAGCACAATAACTCGTGAAAAAAGAAGGACATCGTGGTTTGTTCATACTGTCTGTGACGGCAACAGTCAAGACACTGCACTGTGAAATGCAGTTGAATTGTTTTTTTTTTTCTAAAAGCAGAAACGCACCGTATCGGTTCTTCAGTCACATTGATTTTATTGATCTGCACACACAAAGTAACACAATTAAGTCCCTGGAATTAAATTTTCAGGCCACTGACCCTACGCGTGTAAAGTTTTATTGAGTCCAATGGCTAAATTAAATCTCGTCATCTAAAGCACATTAAAGTGAATTAAGAAAGATAGAGAGCAGGCAACTTGCTCGTTTCTCAAACAGTCTGAGGGTCCCACACAGCTGTCCACACTCAGTGGCGGTGGGTGAGGTCAGCCAGTCCGGTTCTGCCGTAGAAAAGCCAGTATGTGTTACTCTCCGGCTAGGCAGAGCAGAGAGCCGGGGTCTGAAATCTCGAGAGCACACGTGTGCAATTCATGAAAACCACAGAGCCCCCCAAAAGTCTCAGTTACTTCCACGGCGTGATTCTTAATGCTTCATTGTATAACAATGTATTTGCATTTTTCAGAAACAAGTTCCCGAAATTGGTAGGTGTATATTTGAGTATCCAACGTGTTTCTATGAATGAGGTGGGGATTCCGCTCTTTGCTCTGTGTGTGCTGCGAATGGCATCTCCCGGATCTGGTCTTGAGACGGGCCTCTGCTCTTCCCCCAGCTGACTGCCTGGACCCCGGCTGTTCGAACCACGGGGTGTGCATCCACGGGGAATGCCACTGCAGCCCAGGCTGGGGCGGCAGCAACTGCGAAATCCTGAAGACCATGTGTCCGGACCAGTGCTCTGGCCACGGGACGTACCTTCAGGAAAGCGGCTCCTGCACTTGTGACCCTAACTGGACTGGCCCGGACTGCTCCAATGGTGAGGTTCATAAGCGCAGTGGCACTGAGTGCTCAGTATCGTGGAGCTAAAGATTAGGGTGCAATGTGTAGAATGCCCATTAAATTTGACATGGATTTTATTAAAGTGATTGTTTATCCCTGGCTGGTATGGCTCAGCGGGTTGGAGCATCATCTCGTAGACTGAAAGGTTGCCGGTTCAGTTCCAGGTCAGGACACATGCCTGGGTTTCCTGTTTGCTCCCTGGTTTGGGGCGTGCAAGAGGCAGCCACCAGATGTTTCTCTCTCACGTCCGTATCTCCCCCCCCCCCTTCCCCTCTCTCTAATATCAGTAAGCATGTCCTCAGGTGAGTATTAAAAAGAAGTGATTTTTTTGTAGAAATAAATATTAAAAATAATGAAATCACCTTACAAAGAGGAAAGAAACAGGTTTAATCAATTTGTTATTAAAATGAATTATTTTTTAAAATTTTTTAAAGATTTCATTTATTTATTTTTTAGAGAGGGAAGGGATGGGGGGAGAGAGAGAGGGAGAGAGAGAGAGAGAGGGAGAGAGAGACATCAATGTGTGGTTGCTGGGGGCCATGGCCTGCAACCTAGGCATGTGCCCTGACTGGGAATTGAACCTGTGATGCTTTGGTTCGCAGCCTGCACTCAATTCACTGAGCTACGCCAGCCAGGGCAAAAATGAATTCTTTAGTGGCATGGTGAAGAATAACCTCTCACTCCTGGAAAGCGCCCTGTCTTCTCAACTCTCACGGCCTGTGCAGGGCTCAGGAGTCTAAGCACACCGTCTCAGAGCAGAGAAGCCGCTTTTAAAGGTTAGTTGAGAACACTAGGCTAAACAGGGTCACAGTCAAACATCTACATAGATAGAGAATAGATGTAAATAGTGGTTCGGCACAGGGTGTGTAATCATCATGCAGGCCTATCTCAGAAATATTGTGGGTTCGGTTCCAGACCCCCACGATAAAGTAAGTTGCGGTCTTTTTGCTGGTGGAAGATCTTGCCTTCAGTTCATAAAGAAATGCAACATCTGTGAAGCACAGTAAAATGAGGTGTGCGTGTGACATGATGATAACAGAAATGCAGGGGGTAGCTGTAGTCAGCTGGGGTGTTACTAAGCACCAGCCGTGTGCGTGGCCTCATGACAGGCTTACGGGGACAAACGAATGATGTTGTTCCTGCCTCCTGGAAGGGTGGCTTTCATGCGTTTGACCTAGTGACCAACAGTTTTAAATCCACTTTTACTTGCAACCTAATATACATATTTGTGCACATATGTAACTGAAACAAAAGCTTTCCAAAGTGATAAACACTGATGCTCTTTCACAGGTCTATTCTATTTTTTTTGAACATTTTATTTATTTATTTTTTTAGGGAGGGAAAGGAGGGAAAAAGAGAAACATCAATGTGTGGTTGTTGGGGGCCGTGGCCTGCAACCCAGGCATGTGCCCTGACTGGGAATCGAACCTGAGACACTTTGGTTCACAGCCCACGCTCAATCCACTGAGCTATGCCAGCCAGGGCTATTCTATTTTTTTTTTAATTCTGGTTGCAACCCATGCATTACATTCATGGCCCACTCATGAGTCACGCGGTTTGAAAAGAAGCTGTTCTAGTCAAGAAAATGACAGTGTAATTGGGGAGATAAGATGAACGCTCATGAAATACTTCAAAACCAGTATCTTCCAGTTTCACATGTTATTGAGTTTTATATGGAAAACTATGCTAAATTCAGTCAACATCCAGGGGAGTGACCCTGCCTTGGTGCCCATGGGAAGTTCTCAAAGGCTAAATAGGAACCGGGGAAGACTACAGTAGATTATTTTTTTAAAAAAAGGAAGTTCTCAAAGAGACTTTTATTAACATTTCCTGCCTTCTTTTAAAGGTTGTAGTTAGTATAGGGGTGGGGAAGAATATTTTTTTATTTGGGAAGAATATTAGAAAGTACTCGAGAGCTTGAATTCTGAAATCAGATACTTGGGTTAATATCCAACCTCTATAGAAACCTCAGGCCAATTACTATACACCTCAGTTTACTCACCTGGATTTAAATGATAAATGGATTTAATGTAAATGGATTTAAATGTAAAATGGATTTAATGATAAGACATTCCTCGGAGATGCTGTGGGAACCACTTGAATTAGTGCCCTATGAAGTACTTAGTACAGGGCTGAGCTCGTGATACAGTAAACGTAGCTCCCAGCACCACCACTACTATTAGCAAAGATCCAACCGTGAGAAGATCTATACATGCGCGACACTGAAGACCGTGTAGTTGGAGGTAAAAAGTAGTCTGGGCCCAAGTATGGGAGATGCAGTTTGGTGTCCCACCTGCAGCCCGTGGGCCGCAGGCAGCCCAGGATGGCTGCAACTGTGGCCCATCACGAAATTGTAAATTTACTTAAAACCTCATGAGGTTTTTTGTGTGTGATTATGTGCCACAGCGCCTTTAATGTGTGGCCCAAGGCAACTCCTCTTCTTCCCGCGTGGCGCAGAGAGGCCAGAAGGTTGGACACCCCTGGACTGTAGGTCAGGGAGAGCTGACCAGCAGTAAAGATGCGCCCCCGCTGATAGGACGAGAATAATGTTGGAGGGTGCTGAGCAGACGTGCATGGTGGCGGAGCATGAGCGGGGAGACGTCGGGGAGAGCTCTCCCAGAGGACCGCGGTGCTGAGCGCATGAACTAGTTTGGAGGTAGCGGAAATGGCAAGGAGAGAGCCAAGGGACAGTTTGAAGCAAAAATAGAACTTGCTAAGAAAACAGAGTGTAAGTCTCGGTGAGAAGAGCTGAAAGTCTGCAGCGAGGGAGGTGGGCATTAATACAACTGTCTCAGCGTGGAGCGAAGAAGCTGGGGAGGGGCGAGTCTCATGGGGGGGCGGGGGCAGGAGCAGGATGTCCTGGCAGCCGTGGGGAGGTGAGGGAGAAACAGAGGAGGATAGTTCTGCTTGGATGCTCAGACCACCTGAGCAAAGGTGAATACCACAAAAAAACAAAGAGGAAGAAGGAGAAGGAAGGAAAGCGAAAGTGGAGGAGGAGGAGAAGCTTGAAGAAAAGAGAAACTTGAGGAGGAAGTGCAGGGCTGCTAAGCAGATAACATCCCGGGCAAATAAGAGTAAAGACCCACGTTGGGGGCTGGGGTGCAGACAGCCCGGAAGGCCTCACGAAAGGGTCTGGGAATCCTCACCAACCAGCACTCACCACGCATGGGGCACGGCATTATTTTAAATAATGCCTCTTTAACTTGTTTTGTCCCCCTTTCCTCAAATTATATTCTATAATTACAAGAATCAAAATAGGCATTTAGTTATTTCCGCTGAGCTTCTGTTTACATTGCCAGCTTTTATACTAAAAATGTATCCCATGAAGATATCTACTTAAATTAATAGATATAATCACTTGCATAGTAAAGCATTTAGTTCAAGTCCTTTCTGCCTCCAGCTACAAAATATGCTCAATAATCCTAATTATCAAGTAGCACTTGTTTGAAATCTTGCCATTCTAATTTGTTTCCGGTAATTATACAAGGAAGAGAGGAGTAGCAAAATAGCCCCTTTTTTGTTTCATATAAAGTTATTTAATATTACCTGAATTATTGTATAAAGGATGATTTGTGACATATATTAAGTAATTCAAAAGACAATTCAGTCTTCTTTATAGTGACATTGCTATGAATAGCAAAAAAGATATAAATGTTAATAAAAATATTAATTTGGCTGCCACAATCATGCATCATTATTTTATGTATTTAGGCTAATTTTTATGCTGATGTAAGTTTTTTCTATTGGAAAACCTCATTACCTGAATACAAAACAACTTCATCCTATTTGTCTTTTATCTCCAAGGCAAAGCAGAAACTTAACATATATTAAATTCTCAAGAATGTGTAGTACTCTTTTCTAGAGGAACATAAGCACTGAATAAACTTTGCTGTTAGCTGACAAAAAAAAAGTCAGAAAACTTACTTAGAATTATTACCAACAACCTCAAATGTGCATGCATACATCCTGTGAAAATATCGGGATTCAGGTGCGTCAGATTTATCCACATATTGCACAGTTCTCATTCAAAGTTACAAAGACATCGTTCCTTTGCCTGTGTGGCTTCAAGTGTAGTAGCAGCAGTGTCATTCTGAATTATTTACCGAATCCTAAAGCAAAACACTTCACCGGCTGCCTCTTCCGTTGGTGTGGAAAGGACCCCCAGATAACCTGAATTCAATGAGAGAGCAGATTCCACACCCGAAGAAACGTCTGGTTGAGCTGCTGAGAGAGAAGAAATGCGTTGCTCCCCACAGAAAGTTTATAGGTTTGAGAGCCACAGAACTTCCCTCTTTCTTCATCCGCAGTTTGCCCATTAATTAGCCCTTCAATTACACTTCAATTAAATTAACTCTAATTAATAAGTTCATTACAAAGATCGACGCACCTTGCTCAAAGCTAGTGTGCTGCACGCTGATAAACACCTTCGCCCTAATGAAAAATTGATTCGATGGAGTGAAAAGGGTGCCTCGGAAAGAAACCTCTCCCTCCTGGAGCCCAGCTGACGTTCCGTGCCTCTGAAGTTAATCACACCGTCTTAGATCTCTTAATCAAAAATTTAATTCAAACGAGACCGAAAATGTGGCATGCAAAAGCTGGTACCACTCTCTTCCACTTAATAGCCCTGGCTGTTGTTTACCAGAAATGTTACAGCTCTCACAGAGCCTTGGCGGGGCGCTTAAAATTCCGCAGCACTCGGAGACAGAGAGTGATGGAGTCTGAGGAATGCGATTTGGGCGAGGAAGGGGGAAACCAGGAGCACGTGACTACATACGCCGTTACCATTTTTTTTTTAACTTAAAAGTAAGGCTGTATCGTCCGTGTTCTGTTTGTTCGAAATGACTTCAGGGGTTTAGCGTCTGGCATCTTTGTTGCAAGAAAACCCAAGCTAAACAATAGTCTTGCAATCTTAGAAAAAAGCAAAAGTTAGTTTTATTTAACTTTAAATTCAGAGAGGAAAAACTAAAATAACCTTCTAACTTGTCTCTCTTTGACTCTCCCTCCACTGGATCTGGTAGAAGAAAGCTTTTTTATGAAAAAAAAAAAAATACTTCTGACACCTGAATTCTTTTTAAAGACCTAACCCATAGGTTTTAGAGTCCTTGGGTCACTTGGGCTGCCTTCAGTAATTCTAGTAAATGAAAAGCTCGTTTTTCAAACGACACAGTCAGTAGTTACGTACATTAACCTGGTTCACCATGGTTTTGCTTGGCAACTTGTACCTGTCAACAGCACAAATTCACCAAACAGGAAAGTCACAATTTCGTCATGTACCTAGCATGCCTGTGTTTCAGAAGCAAGCTACAGTGCATACTATACTAAACACTTGTTAGTGAAAGTTTCTGAATGTTCTGAAATTTTAAACTCGAGGATTAGAAAGATACCTTTTCAATTTTTTTTTCTGTAGGGGTGTAAGCCAACTACTGTTAGATGCCTGCGTAGACACTGAGATAATTCATTAATTAATATTAATGGGATGCAGTAACACACGTGTGCATGTGTTCTTGGCTCCCGAAAGATACTCTCGGAGACATACATGTGTATGTGTATCTTCCTCTCGTTATGCATCATGTTCTGTTCGTTAGTAGCCGATGTGCTTGCCTGTATACACACATGTGTAGAATATAGGAAGTTATAACAAAATTTCCACGTGTGTTTTATGCACAATCATGGCAGCATATAAAATTCAAGGATGAATTTTAAACAGTAAACCTGCACCATTCATACTCTGAGGAGTAGACACTGAAATTTACTTAGTACATGCATACTTGGGAGATCCTTTCGGAGGTTGTGTTTTGCACGCTCACACACCGGAGTTTCGGGTGCAGCGCACAGGGTCTGCGCCCCTTCTCACGGCCTGCTGCTCTTCTCTCCCGCCCCTCCCCGCTTCCCCTCCTCTGCGCAGAGATATGCTCCGTGGACTGCGGCTCGCACGGCGTGTGCATGGGCGGCACATGCCGCTGCGAGGAGGGCTGGACCGGCCCGGCGTGCAGCCAGAGAGCCTGCCACCCGCGCTGTGCGGAGCACGGGACGTGCAAGGACGGCAAGTGCGAATGCAGCCAGGGCTGGAACGGCGAGCACTGCACCATCGGTAGGCCGGCCCCGCCCCACCACGCGCCGCGCGAGAGCGCAGCGTTTGCTGGTTTTCCACTTGGGAAAGCAACAGACGAGGAACGCGCTCACACACACACACTCGCAGGCACAGACCACGGCACGGTGGGGACCAGAGGGAGGCGGGGGGGTGAGGGGGGCGGGGATGGTAAAAGGCAAAGGGGGTCGAACAGACGGCGGGAGAAGGAGATTCGACTTCGGGAGGTGAACACACGGTGCACTGTACAGACGGTGTGTCGTAGAGTTGTGCGCTGGAAACCCGTGCATTTTTATCAGCCAGTGTCACCCCAAAACATTGTTAAACTCTTACAATTTTTTTAAAATTGCAGAAAGAAAGAACCGGTCGTGTCTTCCCACTAATTTTACTCACTTTTATTAAACAGGAAGTATTTTTTAGGATTGTCATTTTACAATGGCACCCTAGTTCTTTTTAGAACAGCCGGCATGGGTACGGAGTTTAAGAACTTTTTATTCGCTGTTTTCTGTGATGGCCACGCAAATGGGTGGACGTAAAGATGATTTCATTTCTTACTTACAAATGAGCTTTCCTGGAACATTCCTTTCCAGTGGTCTATATTGCCATTGCATAACAACAAAATATTTTCTTTATTTTTAAAACAGTCTGAGTGTGCGGCCTCTTGGGTGTCTGTGGATTCCAGAATCACGCGTCTTCGCACTAGTCGGTGTCACAGCACCGCATGTTCTAGGTGTTCAGTGCCGACCCTTGAACGACACAGGTTGGAACTGGGCAGGTAACTGGCTTTTTCCCAGTGAGTACCTCCCCTGTGCTCCAGCCACCACTGGCAGTCTGCGGGGGCCGAGGGCCCGATGCACGCACTGCTGTAGGGCCTTCCTCAGGGGGCCGAGCATCGGAGGAGCTGGGTGTCCGTGGGGAGCCCTGGAGCCAGTCCTCCGTGGATACGGAGGGACAACTTAGGTTTCTAGGGAGTCAAAGAGTTACATGCGGATTTTCAACTTTAGAAGTCATCGTCCCAGGCCATGCCTTGTTTAAGGGTCTCCTGTAATTCATTTCTGCCTCACTTTAGTGAAAGTGTATACTATGAATTATAAAAGGCACGGCCCTACAAAAATTTCATAATTTGGGGTATGGCATTTCTTCACATTGTTTTGTGTCCGTAGGATAAAATTTGATAAAGTTTTGGGGGGAAGTCTTGGTATCTTAAAAGTTTTCTTCTTCCAGTGCATCTGTAAGTATCACATACTTCACATTTTTTTTACTTACAGGAGCCGGTTAGCCAGGAATTCTTTCAAGGGCAAACTGAAATCACATACGTCATTGTCGTAATTGTGTCTTTATAAAGCCTCATCAGGCCCCTTCCGATCTTACCGACATTTGTTTCAAGGGTCGCACTGCCACCCCCACGTGTGGTGACCCACTAGCCAGACCCGCGGGACCCAGGGGGGTTGTGCTCGTGGCCCTCGTGGCCCAGACAGGGACGAAGGCCAGCAGTTGGTGTCGGGAGAAGCCCACGCACAGGCCCCCTGTGCCGTCCCTCTGCCCCAGAAGCGGCCACACGCAGCACGCCTTGCCCCAGCAATGACAGGCATGGACACGTGTGCCGTGTTTCTGCCCGGGGGAGCCCGGTGGAGACTCCGAGTTAAAGGTTCTTACTAAGGCTGCTCAGAGACGTGGCCTCTGTCAGCCGCAACCAAACCACCCAGATTCCAGACTCTCCAAAGGAAGGCAGGTGTCAAAGGCTTCAGGCAGGCAAATCAGCATCATCAGGGCGGGGAATGCCCAGCTTCACGGACGCCAGCCCTGCAAACCTCTAAAGATCAGGCTCGCCCTGTGACCTCCCACCGGGGCGGCATCCTCAGGGTCTCCCTTGCTGCTTGTGAGCTTAACCCCCGGGCAAACGTGTTGTTCTACTGCGGTCGACGGCACGTGCATGCATCCACGGCACCCGCAGGGCGCTCCTGCCCACGATCTTGTGTGGCTCCTCCTCCTCGACTCTCTCAGGGGGGCTTTGCAGGCCTTTGGTCACCTGTTCTGTGAACTACAGAAAGGCCAAGAAAAGCTGACAACCAGCCAGTTTGTATTATCTTTCTAGGGATGCCCAGAGAACAGCGTACTACCCCTGTGACCGAGCAGGTCCATGGCAAGTCCCAGAATGCCCACATCCCAGCAGAGGGCAGGGACAAGGCTTCTGATCCCCACCACCCCCACACGCATCGGAAGTGCACGGATTCTGGCTTGAGGGTGGGGGAGCGTCACATAGTTGACCACGTGTATCCTAGGCAGTACAGCAAACACATGTGTATCTAGTTTAGAAAACCAGGAAGTGTACTATAAAGTTCACAGGCAGTTTTAACTTGCCAACCAACAGTTATTAAATCATTCTGTTGTTCTCACTGACCTCGGCAATATTATATGGTTAGTTTCTCAGCGCTGAGCTGATCTTGAACGACTTCTCAGTTGTCTGGCAACAAACGGGACTTTTGTTATGATGTAACATATCTTGCTGCGGTAGTTAACGATTCCATTTCTACTGTTGCATTTTATTGTGTGGCTTTTGTAGCCCTTGTGAGTAACAATGTGGAAAGAAAGGGCCTGCTTTATTTAGAAATAAGCCCTGGAAGTGAACCTTTTAAAAGATGTGGAGAGCCTTTAAATCATTGTTTTGCTCTTTACTGTTAGAATGATTGCTCCAAATTTTGGCACACAAAGATCCCACTGGGTTTCCCCTGTCTCCTCGCTCCCTCTGTATCTGTCCACAGTGACGCCTGAGGGGCCATGTTAAGAGCGGCCTTTGCGAGCCGCTGACTGAACAGCCCAGGTCAGGACGCAGAGTTTCCTCTTTCCAGAGAGTTAATGCGCTGCTCACTTCCTTTCCATTTCAGCACTTGGGCATCCGGCTGAAGAAGCTGCCACTTTATGAAAGAACACCCATAAATCAGCGCGATTTTTTTTTCCTTTTTCCAGATTATGCGCCATCTCATTGAATACAAACAGCGAGGTTAATTGAAAGAGGGATAAAGGAGAAATTAAACAGTTAGAAGCAAACAGAAGTTCCCAATAGAAAGCGAAGAATATTCTTCATCAGTCACCTCGCTGTCTTCATAACCGTTCATGCTTTCATAAAACCATGGGCATTTTTGATAGTAAGATCGGCTGTGGATTTAGAGTCCTCACTGAACACAGTGTCCCCCTGAAAGGATTCCATCCCGATACTTTTATTAATGTGTTCAGATTTTCCTCTTGTTGGGAATCATGTGTTCAGGGAATTAGACTCATTCATCCACAGGTTCATTCTCCCAAGTTTTTTCCCTTCCCTGGGTCAGACTTCCACTAGTGATGTTTGCAGATGGAAGAGGAAACTCGGGGAAACCTACTTTTAACACTATTTCAACTAAAATAAATATCTCTCTCTTCCTCCTCCTGAAGCATTCGTGATTGTCGGACCCTTTCATAAATAAAGAGAAGTCACATGATTGAGCCACATCAGATACGCACCAGCAGTTACTGCGGACATAGTTTGATAGTTCTCGCACTGTTACAGATGCTCAGCTACCAAGTGGTATCATCCTTTGTATGTGACCTTCCCATAAAAGGGTCAAATGATTATCATTTGCTTGTCATGAATAGAAAATATGTAAAAATATTTAGAGGATCCAGAAGCAAGTTAAAAAAGTATTTAATGTAATTAAGTGGTTTATAAATAATAGTTGATACAATTGGAGTGGCATATGGCTGTCTGTATTTTAAGAGCTTAAAAGGTTCTGTAGTGAGAGAGTCGAGGTGCCTCAGGGTCAAATACGTGAACTGGGTGATACTTGTCTTGGCCTAACTCAGTAAGTTCACTGTCAGTGTATTGAACCGGAATGAGAACTATGACCCTATAAAGGCAACTCAGTCGGGTTGGCTCTCTTTTCTTCTTTCGGAAAAAAGGGGAAAACTGCTATCTGATTGGCCAAGAGGGGAAAACTGTTATCTGATTGGCTAAGAGGGGAAAACTGCTATCTGATTGGCTGAGAGGAGAAGACTGCTATCTGGCTGAGAGGAGAAGACTACTATCTGATTGGCCAAGAGGTGAGAACTGCTATCTGATTGGCCTGTTGCTGGATTTAATTGGCCATAGAAGCAATGCATGTGTCATGGCAGTCTCTGCTGAGCAGATGTTGGTAGGCAAAATCCATAGTTTTTAAGTGAACTGCTAACTAAACATCCTGGGCCACAGGATAAATCCTAAGTGCCACATTTTGAGCCTGAAGGTGGAGGAAGGGTGGAGATTGGATTGTCACCTACCTAGGGGGAGGGGTGGTTAGGAAAGTACAGAGCTCACATCTCTGTTGAGGGAGAAATCGTCCTCCGGAGGCTGACTGGCATTTTCCATTCCCTCACAGGGGAATGGAGAAAATGGGTGTACTTGTTTAAATGTTGTTTAGATGTAATGAAGACCCTGAGGTTGGAAAACATTTAAATTCTGGATGAAGATCCCAAAGAAGTGTTTGCTTCTGCCCTCCAATAAGCTTTAGCAATACCGTCATTAATTACTTAGGTGTGAAACTCCCAGGGTTATGTTTCTTTCTTTTGTCAGTTTGTGGAGTTTTCAGAAGGGGAGTGTTTGTTAAATTCTCTCCATCCATTCGTTCTCTTGAGTAGTATTCCCGCCTGAAGGGCCCCTCCAGGTCTCTGGTAATTTCTGAATTCATTGATAACTTTTGCTTTCCTTGGAAAATTACTAGATTTAAGCACGGGGTTCCCTTGTTATTCTCAGCTCCCTTCGGCTCTTATTTTTATTTTTCCTTGTGGCATTTGCACGCCTCAGTTACTTTTCGTTTGATAATTTATTCATTTCTTTATCCGTGAAGCAAATTATTGATCATCTCACCTGTGATGTTTGAATACGACTTCTTAGGAAAGTCAGTGTAACAAACTAGGGAGAAAAGTGTGGGCTTTGAGATAAAAAAAAAGATATGTTTCAGTTCTGTGATTTATTCACTATGATTTGTATTTTA